TTGGTTGGTTTATAGATTTAATATTTATATCAAACTATCATTTATAAAGGTGAGCTGAGCAGTTATTTTAAGCTGAATTATGAACCGAGTCAGACCAGCTACGCTACAACTAGCTAATTAACACGATTAATTAACTTTATTTGACTGCTTCAAATAAAGTTATTTAAAGTTTCTCAGAATTCTGAGATTAAAGTAAGAATTCTGATAAAAAAAAAGTCAGAATTCTGACTTTTTTCCTATGTTAAACTGAAATAAATTTAAAAATCAGTTAACTTTTTATTTTGTTTCAGTGGCCCTAATCCTCTTCCGTACTCTTCCATACATTTCTCTGGACAAACTAATATTAAAACAATTTTGTGTGTGTTTAGTAAAGAAGCCTCCGCTGCCCCCTGCTGATGACAAACCTTAGGAAAACGTGAAAAGAAAAGGAAAAACCCTTTGCCTTTTTCATATTATAATAACGAACAACATTTTATGAATGAAATTTAAGAACTTTAAAACGTAATACCTGAATTGATTTTATTTATTGAAATGTATTTTTAGATTTATACATATAAATAAATGAATGTATACTGTATACATTTAAATGTCTAGCACAATAGTTTCAGTGCTCATTTAGCACTGAATTTAGTGATGGATTTCACTTGGAAATCAAAGACTCAGTGAATAAAGGAAGAATGGAAAGTCACTGGATCCAAGCTTCCTGTTGATCCGCTGTATTTTACCTATTTTACCAATGGCGGCGGGTCAAATTAGCGGCTGTCAAATTAACTGCCTTTCTATGGTTAATTCAATTGCAAATAGAAAGCAACTTCCCCATCTAGGGGGTATTTCTTTAATCTCAGTTGCAAATGTAGATACTAACTGATATCTATCTATCTATCTATCTATCTATCTATCTATCTATCTATCTATCTATCTATCTATCTATCTATCTATCTATCTATCTATCTATCTATCTATCTATCTATCTATGGGTAATTCAATTCTAAATATAATGTCAAATTGACTGCCTGTAGTGTCTTTAAAGGTCCTGCAGACTGTCTGCGCAGTTTTCTGCGAGACAGTATTAACGCAGAGAATCAATACAGTTTGGCAATGTGTCAAAACACTTCAAGATACCTCTTTAATCCATCACTACTACCGCAACCACTAGTTTTTGCATTCTTAAAAATGTATTTCCTCAAATTGAGTTGTCTTTGTTGCTTGGCCGTGATGATGTTCAAATCACTGTCACCTGCTCTGCTGGTTGCACCACTGAGGTTGAAAATTGTGTGTGCCCACAAGTTGGATTGGATGGATGGGCACTTTTTGCGTACCATACGGTATGGAGTGATAGTTGCTGGAAAAGATATTGCACCAAAAACCAGACATTTGTAGCTAGAATATTCATTTACCACATTAGCAATGTACATATAGAGTGTATTTCTTTTAATTTAAGACTAGATTAAAGTTATCTTCAGTACAGTGCTTTTCCTTAAAAAGATAAGGACATTTAAATGTGACCCCAAACTTTTGAATGGTAGTGTATATATATATATATATATATATATATATATATATATATATATATATATATATATATATATATATATATATATATATATATAGATATATATATATATATATATATATAGATATATATATATAGATATATATAGATATAGATATATCAGTTAGTATGTACATTTGCAACTGAGATTAAAGAAATACCCACTAGATGGGGATGTTGCTTCATATTTGGAATTGAATTAACCATAGAAAGAGATAATACTGATTAGAACTTGGTTTGTATATATATATACTGTGAAAGGAGCCATCACTACTACCGCAACCACTAGTTTTTGCATTCTTGGATTGGAAGTTGGATTGGATGGATGGGCACTTCTTGCGTACCATACGGTCAAGCTGCTCCCACAACAGCTCAATGGGGTTCAGATCTGGTGACTGCGCTGGCCACTCCATTACAGATAGAATACCAGCTGCCTGCTTCTGCTCTAAATAGTTCTTGCACAATTTGGAGGTGTGTTTAGGGTCATTGTCCTGTTGAAGGATGAAATTGGCTCCAATCAAGCGCTGTCCACTGGGTATGGCATGGCGTTGTAAAATGGAGTGATAGCCTTTCTTATTCAGAATCCCTTTCACCCGGTACAAATCTCCCACCTTACCAGCACCAAAGCAACCTCAGACCATCACATTACCTCCACCATGCTTAACAGATGGTGTCAGGCATTCTTCCAGCATCTTTTCATTTGTTCTGCGTCTCACAAACGTTCTTCTTTGTGATCCAAACACCTCAAACTTGGATTCATCCATCCACAACAATTTTTTCCAGTCTTCCTCTGTCCAATGTCTGTGTTCTTTTTCCCATCTTAATCTTTTTCTTTTGGCCAGTCTCAGATATGGCTTTTTCTTTGCCACTCTGCCCTGAAGCCCAGAATCCTGCAGCCGCCTCTTCATTGTAGATGTTGACACTGGTGTTTTGCGGGTTCTATTTAATGAAGATGCCAGTTGGGGACCTGTGAGCCGTCTGTTTCTCAAACTAGAGACTCTAATGTACTTATCTTCTTGCTCAGTTGTGCAACGCGGCCTCCCACTTCTTTTTCTACTCTGGTTAGAGCCTGTTTGTGCTGTCCTCTGAAGGGAGTAGTACACACCGTTGTAGGAAATCTTTAATTTCTTAGCAATTTCTCGCATGGAATAGCCTTCATTGCTAAAAGAAGAATAGACTGTCGAGTTTCAGATGAAAGTTCTCTTTTTCTGGCCATTTTGAGCGTTTAATTGACCCCACAAATGTGATGCTCCAGAAACTCAATCTGCTCAAAGGAAGGTCAGTTTTGTAGCTTCTGTAACGAGCTAAACTGTTTTCAGACGTGTGAACATGATAGCACAAGGGTTTTCTAATCATCAATTAGCCTTCTGAGCCAATGAGCAAACACATTGTATCATTAGAACACTGGAGTGATTGTTGCTGGAAATGAGCCTCTATACACCTATGTAGATATTGCACCAAAAACCAGACATTTGTAGCTAGAATAGTCATTTACCACATTAGCAATGTACATATAGAGTGTATTTCTTTTAATTTAAGACTAGATTAAAGTTATCTTCAGTACAGTGCTTTTCCTTAAAAAGATAAGGACATTTAAATGTGACCCCAAACTTTTGAACTGTAGTGTATATATCAGTTAGTATGTACATTTGCAACTGAGATTAAAGAAATACCCACTAGATGGGGATGTTGCTTCATATTTGGAATTGAATTAACCATAGAAAGAGATAATACTGAATATACATATCAGAACTTGGTTTATATATATATATATATATATATATATATATATATATATATATATATATATATATATATATATATATATATATATATATATATAAAACAATCATATAAATTAAATCAGAGAGATATTTCTTTTATTTTATCTACCCTGTTATGTGGTTTATTGAGGGATCAGCCCACACACAGGCTACAGTCCTATCCACTTACATTCAATCAATAGCACTTCTCTTTTTCTGCATCTCTGACATCATACAGAGGTGTTGGGGGAAAAAATCATTGCTGCAGGAATTATTCTCTTTGATTTTCAGGCAAAAGAAAACCTCAGGATCATTGTTTAATTGTGACTCATATTGTTCATATTAACTGCATTTCATTAATTTCTCATTGTAGGCAGAGAAAAAAAAAAAGAAGAGAAGCACGTCCCATGGTGGACATCTCAAAGCAGTTCACAGCATTTTCTAGGAATAAGCGAGGCAGGAGAGGAGGTCATGGATGGAGGATGGCCTTTAGAGATGCGGCCTCAGAGGCAGGATCCACACAGAGTCTTTGTTTCACAAGGCTTCAGCATTCAACTCCCTTTACTTTATCAACAGAGCTCAGGCTCAAATCAATTCAATATGGTGGCTGGTGGGGGACAGCCATACAGTGGGTGCTGCACACATACAAACACACCCAGACACAGCCTAGAATCAAACTTCATGGTTTATTTTGAGTTATGTGGTGTCTCATCGTGTCAGTTACTTAAGCGGACTGTGTAACTTCCTTTGGTTATTGAAATTAGCTCACAAAGAAGTACCCAAATGTCCTTCTTCTTCACACCCAAATGTTATTACTGGTTATTTAACTGTTAAGTGAAAGTCTGGGGTAAACAAGGGCTTGAACTTGATATGAGATACAGGGCTGCACTCTCAGACGGTGAGGCAGGTGTAATGCCAAACTTGACCCACCTCCGTTTGGCCGCCACCTCACTATCTACGTGTGTGAGAGAATGTTTGCCACTGGCCAAAGGGAGAGCCAACGCCTCATCTGCTGTTGAATGAATCACACGGGAGCCCGTGAGGTGAGACGGGGCCGAGGCTACTGTTTCCATCTGCTTTGCTAGAATGTTTTAGGACACAACTTGGCTGCTGTTTCATCTTTTAACTTGGATGAGGTGGGGTCGCAAATTTGTTCACCTCAACATTTTCTCAACCATTTCAAAGAATAGCTAAGGATGTTTTAAAGTGAGACACTGTTGAAGAATTTTAAACAAACATTAGCTGCTACATATAACTGGAGGCTGAAGCTAACGGCTCGTCTGTAAGAGGACAAGACCAGAACGGTCTTAAAAAAACTTTGGCCTAGATAATGTAGCATTTTAAGCAAACACAATTTACAGAGATAGTGACAATCACCATTACAGTTGGATTATTTTCCTTGGGGAAACATTAACTGAGAGCAGAATATGTAATAAGTTTACAGTCATATATCCAAAGATCTAATAAAATAAAGACATTATGAAATCTATGCTCTATTTAATGAAATTCCCTTTATGTAAACACTAGAATGTCTTTTCTCGTGACATTTATAGTTTCCAATGTAATATGATAGATTTCTTGTACTGATGTAAAACAAAGGTCCCTTAAACAGCTATACTATTTTTTTCACTTTTTATTTTTCTTTTTCACTATGAAATGCCACACATAAAAATTAAAAGAGTAAGTCAAGTGTCATAAGTATTTTATTTAGTCATTTAAACAAACATACTTTGTCTCCTTTGTTCCTTGTTGTTTTTTCTTGGTTGTGCATAGCTTTCCTCTTCTCTCTCTCCCCTCTATCCCATCAGGTCACTGTAAATAGACGTCACTACCAACAAAAAATATTGTTTAAAAAAAAAACATAATCTTATTCTATATAAAACATTTAGTCTAGTAAGCCCAGTGAAATATTTGATACGGCTGAGTGCTTGTTTCTTACAGGATGATCATTGGTGGTGCACCAAATATATTCTAAATTTTTCATGCATAACAACCAAATTAAACAAGAAAACATTAAAAAGTTAATAAAACAAAAATTCACATGATAATCAGCCTTAGATTTTAGAATAAAGAAATCCAATCAGCAGTCTTAACACCACAGTGAATACCTATAGCTCAAAACTCCTGGCTCTTTATGCATATTGTTCACACCATTTTGTGAATAAAAGGATAAAAGTACCTACTTGTCAACATTTGTTTTCGAGCAGAAATCATCACTATGATAAATGTTACTTAATAAGCACAGACCATTGGAGGATCGATAATTTGTTTTCCTTTATTTTGGTTTATCACAAAAAGAACAAGAGCGAATTTGATAAGAAATACAAAAGAAAAAGTTTTTAACTGCTTCTACTTTTGACTGACAATCAAAGGCTGCTGTCAAAGCAGAAGGCGCCTCAGTGACTCTAGCCGGGTCTAAGTTTGTAGGTTTCTGTATGTTGTAGGATTGCTGGCCTTCAGGGAAGGCAGTAGGTTGTATAGTTATCTACTGATTGGGCAAAATCACTACCCCGAAACCACACAACCTACTACCTCACCCCGTACGAACATCAGAAAGGACCTACTTATTGGCAAAATTAATCTCTAACAGCAAAAGGAAATGATATCCTTGTTGCTCAGAGAGACGTCACTGTGTATTATTCCTGTGACTGTGATGCTTTCATGATTTACATGTTACAAAAGCAGCAAAATAAGCAAAATAAGACACAGATGAAATTTTAATGATTGTCTACAATCAAGGCTAATAGATCAAATAAAATAACACCAAATTCTACAACAAACCTTAGCAACTATGGTCAAATTCTGCATTCCTGCTACATCTTGTGTCCTCACACTTGCCATTTCCAGGGTTATGCCGATTTCAGAGAACTCCAGGGGCAGCGTCTGACGACATTACAGCCACTTCAGGAAAGACAGTAAGTTGTATAGTTATCTGACAGGAAGGGTGTGACCCTAAAACTATACAACCTACTACCTCACCCCAAAGGACAGTCTTGGAAAAAGAAAAAACAAGAAACACAGCTCTCTCCGTTCTTGCCAGAGTTCATGCCTGTAATCTGCTTTCGACACACCTCGCTGAATGCAAAGCAGCAGTTATGATTCGCAGAAACACAAACATGCGCGCACCTCTCCTCTGGGACGCCGGACTGTGAAAGGAGCCTGTGTGTTGAGAGCACAATGTGACAACTGGGTCTTCAAGTTCATGGCTCAAGCTGAAGGGAAATTCAAATGATCTAACCGGTGGGAGCCCATTTCTCAAACAAATTGCAGGGAAGAGACATTTTCATGTTCAAAAACAACCTGTACATCACTTATATGTTGCAGGCATTATTTGGATTAATAGGTAAACCACAAAGGTCTAACCAGATGGTATTTCATTCAATAAACATTATCTGCTGATTTTCCTACTTTGGATTTTAACATTAAAAGGAGCTGATTTGGAGAACATTAAAACCAGATTTATTGGCTTTATAAACCTAAAAATCATCAGGTGAATTGAAAATACAGTACCTTACTAAAACTGCATAAATCCTTTTAAAATTTACTGGTGAACACGTTGAAATCACAAACCTTACTTTGTTGGTATTTTATGTGACAGATCCATACTGAAAGGCATAGAGTAATTATAAAACACAAGGAATATTACTAATTTTTACAAAAAAAATTAAGTCTCCCTGAAATCTAATCTTCTTAAGATTGCATTTGCTTTGATGTGGAATACATAAATATGTTTAACTGAAGTCACATTAAGATTAGTTTGTAGTGGTAAAAACCAGAGGTGGAAAGTAACGAAATACATTTACTCAAGTTACTGTATTGAGTAGGTTTTTTGTGTATTTTGTATTTTTCAAGTAGTTTTTAAAATTGGTAATTTAAATTTTACTTGATTACGTTTTGAGTGAAGTATTGTATTTCGTTACATTACAAATCCCATCCGTTACTGAGTAAAAAAAAAACTGTGGAAAACCGAAAGGAAGACAAAAAATCGGGCCCGGAAGCACTGCAGTGAGTGACATGATCAGCTTGTAGATCTAGGCTACCAGGCGCCAAGTCTTTCTGTAGGAGATTGGGAATGAGATGGAGGTGGATCAGGAGAGCAACGACGGTTCAGAGAACGTTTCACTAGAAATGCTAGCTGAAACATCGAATTCTGCTGCCCAAAACGACCAAAATCCTTGGCCACATTTGACAGACTGCTTTTCATTTAAATTCAAGAGGGCCAACAGTATCATCATGCAATGCCAGATGTGTCTGCCAAAGGTGACTGAACTGGCAGCATTCAATAACTCCACATCTAATCTGTGGAAGCATGTTTTGGTAAGTATTTAGTGCATTGGTACTTCAAACAAAGTTTTCATGACTGATAGCCAATTAGCAAAACAACCTGTTTCGTGGCATTGCTAATTTTGTCTAGCACAGGGGTCGGCAACCCGCGGCTCCGGAGCCGCATACGGCTCTTTCATCGTTATACTGCAGCTCTAAGTGGCTTGGGAAAATAAACTGCTAAAAGAAAAACTAAGTAGGCTATTTCATTTTAGTCAGTGTTTCCCGCAGCACTATTTTGGCGAGGTTGGCAACAGTTTTTTTTTTTTCAAATGTAACTAAGTAACTTTTACTTAAAATACATTTTAAATTAGCTACGTATTACTTTACTTGAGTAATTTTTCTGATGGGTAATTTTACTTGTACTCGAGTAATATTTCATCCAAGTATTGGTACTTTTACTTGAGTATGATATTTTAGTACTTTTTCCACCTCTGGTAAAAAACACATAAGAGAGTTAGAGAACATGAGGAAGGAGGTGCTTTGATTAGATTTACACCTGTAAACATGTACCCCATTTACACTACCCTTGAAAAACCAATCCATGCTGAGACCGGTTCGAGCTTGGATCAGTTAACCAGGCCGAGCTTGGTTCTGACGACCGTTTACAGGCTATCTCGGTTCCTTGACTCCTTGCCTCCTAGTGGCGGTCTGCGGTATTACTGCCAGTATTTAAGGAGGAAATCAAGCAGTTGGTGGCTGTAATGCACCAAAAGTTGTTTGCCAACCGCCATAAAACACAAGAAGAAAAAGACGAAGAAGGAGGGAATCAAGCAAATCAAATTGGCGGCGCCCATCACATTCAGAAAGTTATGCTTGATTATTATTGCTGCACTTCGGTATTGTTGTTTAAAATGCCATTTTTTAAAATGTTGCGTGGAGAAAATTTCGATTGTTGTTTATAGTTGAAGAAGAAGTTGTTGTTCTTCTTTTGTTTCTGGAGGGGCATTACCGCCAACTACTGGAATGGAGTGTGAATTGGGATGTGCAGCCAGACAGAGATGACGCGTTCTGCTCATGCGCTCTTGTTGTCAGAGAACCGAGCCAGGAAAAACCGAGCCGAGCCCACCTCTGGAACTGGTCTGCAGTTATCTCGGTCCGGTTGTGTCTTTCTCGGTTCAGTTCAGTTTGCTTTCCATTTACACAAGATAAGTTATCTCAGTTACTGAGCTCGGACCGGTCTCGGCACGGTTTTTCAAGGGTAGTGTAAATGGGGTAATAGTGGTGTTAGCATGATGCTATGAAGGGGTATTTCGTCCACATAAACAGGTCTAAGTTAGAGTCGTGCATAATCATGAAGGAAAGTGATGTTTCGTTAAAAATGAAATAAGAAGAAACTTGTTCCAATGAAGCTTGTATTTGCACACACCACCCCCTGAGCTAAAATTTATAACTGCCTTTCCCTGCTACTGAAGCTGAAAGGATGTTAGGATTTGTCTCTACCTCCTTTACTTATCTAGACATTGAGATATTTCCTCATTCCACTTAATAATGTAGCTTCATTTAATTTAGAATGTTTTGACCAGATATTCTACAGTCTTGTCATGTATATTCAATCAGATTAGCTCTGGACTTTGGCTATCCCGTTCAATTGAAAACATGTTAAACTAAAAAGCTCCACAGGAGCTTCAATTTCTCACAAACTCTACCTAGGATGCCCTATTTTTGGCTTTATCTGTAGTACAACCAACTTGATCGTTTTCCAAGTATCTGCAAAAAAAAAAAAAACAACAACATCATGTTACAGCTGATATGTTTTACAGATAGGGTGTTGCGTTTAGCGAGATTAGCCGGATCACTCCACCTTATAAGGCTTATAGAAAATACAAAAAGCTGAGATTTAATTACACACTTTGACTATTAACTAACTTAGGTAAAGACAATTTGTGGTATTGGATTTATTTAGGGGGATCAGAATAAAGCGGTCTGATCTATAAAGCATGTTGTCCTCTCAGATTTTAATTGTAATTGAGTTTGGAAGTCATATACTTTATTCCTTCCAGGGTAGTGCATGTCTGTGTTGGCCTATCACATTTAAACACACTGATGTCTGCGTTTGTAACATGACAGAATCTGTTAAAGTTCAGGAGTTTTATTCTAAGTCTGTGCAGCCTTTGTGTCACGCAGAACGCTTTGAAGGATTTCTTGTTTCTTAGAACTGTTTTCTTAGTTTCTAAGAGCTGAGTGTTAATATTATTGAGAGGGAGGCTGAACTCAACAAAGCACAGATCCCTGCCCACATGTGGGGAGCATAGGGCCACAGCTGCTGCCTCTGCTAATGCATCTTACCTGCTACGCAACATGCAGCGGGTCGTGGTAGGGGGTAAGGGGGAGTCGGCTGGCCTCCTGTCTTCAGGCACAGTGATTGTTCCAGCAGCACATCAGGTAGTCTTCATCCAAAAAACTAGGAAAATACGAAAGAAAAGAACAAAATCCAAGAGAAATCTGTTACTTATGTAAAAAAGAAAATGGTGAAATACTTCAGCATGATGCAAGGGTGTAACTTTGCAGTGACAGTTGGTGGGGACGCTCTAAGGGTGGTAGCTGATGGACCTACAGCTACTCAACATATTTCAAAAATCATTTATACACAGATTTTTATTATATGTGCTTTAATTCTTATAGGTTTATTATACTTTAGTTTTAAGTCTGTCCTGTGAGTCTGTCTGTCTCTGGGTTGGCTGGCACAGCTATTTCTGAGTCAAAAAGATATGTTGAATTTTATTACAGCATACTGTATTTAAGTACATCTGTTTCACCTTTAAATCAGCTGTCCCTAATTGTGTCTGCGTTCTGCTTAAAAACAGATTTATGAACCAGTCTACCAATATAATGATGCCAGAGTAAATCATTTTCCAGATCTCTAGAAGCTCTGCAGTCTGATTCTCTGTTTAAAGATAAAACAACAGATATGTTCATCTATAACTCAGAGTAATGGTCTTTTGAGAAGCCCAGCTTTTTTTACTTATATAAATTTACAATCTGTTACCATTTTTAGCTGAAAAAGTGTATGTATCGGTATGTAACAAACTGATTTTTTGGTGGCATCTCTGATTTTTTTTAACCAACCAGTCTCCTAACTTTTACCTAAACATAATGTTGGAGTAGCTGCCAGTAAAAATTCACTGAGTGCTGCTGCGAATTTATGTTAAAACGGCTTGCCACAGTTGGTCAGACGAAACTGAATTTATGTTAAAAACGGCGTGCCATATTCAGTGTGTCTCTCCTCCTCCACGTAGCGACTGTGTACGCAGTGAATAGCGACCCCAAATAATATTATGTCCCAAAGCGACAAATCTGACGATATTTCACTGAGAGGTGGGACTGGAGAACAGCGGGAGAGAGAGAAAAAAACGGACTGAAAACGCTCTGAACACAGCTAGCTACACCCAACCCCAGTTATTGTAGGCTAAAGTAAATGGACTGTCCCCTTCATGCACAAAGTCCTTCACACCTCCACACCAGTCCTTCAGAAAGTTATGCCAGTGGCCTGATGACTTATAGATTTGACATCTGTGAGATCAATTACAAACACCAAGAGGTTGACAGCCCTCACAGGGCATCCCTGTGTGTGTTGACATTTTTTTTTTATGATAAAAAAATTATAATTTTAGAGGAGAGAATATATATTTTCTGAGTTTCCTTGTACTCAGATTGTGATTTTTGGTGCACTGGATTAGACTTGTCTGATATCTATCTGATGCTTGACGAATACAACACGGTTTTGCTTGTTTATCAGCCTCTGTTGAGCAAAAGTCATGTGAGGGTAGCCTCGGTCAGCGTGTACTCCTAGAGAAAAAAGTGGCTATGTGAGGAAATAAACCTACAGCACATTATGGAATGACATGTCTTGAGCTGAGAGGCCCGATTGTGTCTGCTCACTGGTGAACTTGAGTCTCTCTGCATTATTTAACGCCACATTACTTACACCATAGCATTGTGGATTGTAAATATGCACAAGCACAGACCCGTAGAGACACAAAAGGAGCACAACAACTCTATGCAGAAGAGTTCCCCCCCACCAAACAATCAATACTATACATTTCACAGTTTTATAGCACTGTTGCCTACCAGCAAGAATGTTCTGGGTTCGATTCCTGGCCAAAGTAATGCGTCGCCATCTATCTCTGTGTCCAGTGGAGATGGGAGGCTGTGGACAAACGAATCACTCCACCACAAGTCTCTCAATAACCAGCCACTGAAAACGTGACGACTTATTACAGGTTTGTAGAATCCCCATTGTGTTTTTGAGGCTAGACATGTTTTTAAAGTGGTAGAGGACTACCTTAGTTTTACCGCCTCTTGAAAAGAAGTGGAGATTTATCTACTACATGAAAAATATCAACTGGTTCTGATGTTTTAATAGAACCTCATGGCAAAGCCCTTTAAAGGAATAGTACACCCAAAACATGATTTGCCTTCATTTGCTACTCACCCCCATGCTGAACAACACTCTGGAGTACTTTTTTGATATCTCAAATGCATCTGGAGATCTGGGAGGCTTCTTGCTGTCTGCTGACATTCAAATAATGGAGGTCTATGGCACCCGAGGCAGAAAGGTCCATAAAAGTCCACAAAAAACGTGTCAATATTCCTCCATACTGCTCGTCCAATGTATTCAAGGTGTCCTGAGTGGGTAGCGTCCAGAATTTACTCGAAACGAAGTCATTTAGAATGTTTTTAGAGCATAAACAGTAGTGTATAGGATTTCCTGAAAGCGCGTTCACGAGTCTACGGAAACCGCGGCAGACCAAACCAGATGAAAGTGCTCATTCAGCTCGGCAAAGAACTCATGCTCTTTCTCAACACTGAAGTCCTCAGACATTTTTCTTTCGTTGTTTCTTTCTTTGCACAGGTAAACAGCACATTTCTTCTTCTACGCTTGCATTATCGGCAGAGCAGACGCTGAATGCGCACTTTCATCTGGTTTGGTCTGCTGGCTTCCGTAGCGTCGTGAACTCGCAGGCGCGCGCTTTCAGGAAATCCTATACACTACTGTTTATGCTCTAAAAACATTCTAAATGACTTCGTTTCGAGTAAATTCTGGATGCTACCCACTCAGGACACTTGGAATACATTGGACGAGCAGTATGGAGGAATATTGACACGTTTTTTGTGGACTTTTATGGACCTTTCTGCCTCAGGCACCATAGACCTCCATTATTTGAATGTCATCAGACAGCAAGAAGCCTCCCAGATCTCCAGATGCATTTGAGATATCAAAAAAGTACTCCAGAGTGTTGTTCAGCATGGGGGTGAGTAGAAAATGAAGGCTAATCATGTTTTGGGTCTACTATTCCTTTAAGTTTGAAAAGAGGAAGCATTGTCCAACTCACTGCATAAATATGCATCTGGTTTTAGGTTCTGAGCAAACGATCTCTGTCAAAAAATGTAAATCACCTAGGAGTCTTGTAAAATGCTCAATGACATGTGGCCTTGACTTTATAAGGCAGGGTCAATGCTATTCCATTAAGTCTGCTGACTGGACATACTTCAGCCTAATATAGTTTATGGCTCTGGGTTCCAGACCAGCTGGGTGCTTGTTCAGGAAAGCTACTACTTTCAAGTGAAGCCAGTTCCTAAAATGCAGTGGCAGACACTGCATTCACACCTACACACTGCAGAAAGCACATGCACCCACTCATCTCTGCGTATGCTTAGCTGGCAGGAATTACACCTAAACATTGTCCACCTTAAAGTTCAGCATTTGATAGAGTAAACTGGAAACATTTTTTACATAAATTTGGCTTTGGCAATTCCTTTATAAATTGGTTAAAAATATTATACAGCTTCCTAACAGCCTGTGTCAGGAAAAATAAACAAACATCTTCCAGTTTTTGTCTCCAGAGGGGCACCAGGCAGGGATCCCCGCTCTCCCCCTCACCTTTTGCCTTTTTTATCGAGCCTCTAGCTGCTACAATCAGACAACCTAATGTGGTTAAAGGTATAAAAGGCATGAAAATAGAGAATAAA